CCCTACCCCGCCCCGCCCCTCCGCGCCGCGCGCTGCACCACGCCCCCCCGTGGGAAGCTATATAACTCTGACATGGCGCGGCGCCGCATGTCAGTTAGCGGTAGGATCTCGTCCAGTGCACATCTCTGCCTCCCAAGGATGATTTGCAAGGTAAGTGAGGGGGTGGGGGTGGGGGACCGGGGACATCCAGACCAGACGGGACCTTAAAGCGACCTCCCGCGTGAAAGACTAGGATATGGGCTGATAAGTGCCCCTATCTCTTTCTCGCGCATTCATGTCAGAATTTAAAATGTTGCCAATTTTTGTTTCAAAACCACACTTTTAAAAACTTTTTACAAGAAAATTTTCCCATAGTAACTAATTAAAGTTGTGTGCTGTTGTACAATATGTAGAATAGAACGTTTTCTTAGTATCACTACAAGTTTTCCTGGTATAATTAAGGTCCAATATTTATAGATGGTATGCAGTAAAAGGGCTCATAATGCATGTAAGTACACACTTATATTTGCAGAGCAGCCACTGACCAACGCATGTGGACGATTCGGATACAATAGCCTTACAAACCCACGACGGAGTGATGGAATTGCCGATATCATAGCTATGTGTGCTTTACATTGGCTCGAACACTAACTACTTGGAAGGGGCGCATTTTACAGCAAAAGCATGACCGTAATACGTACGCGTCGAACTCCCGTGCTAAAAAAGGTCAAGTTGAAAAAAAATATGGTCCAAATTAAACCTTTTTCTCTCGTTTAATTTCTGAGCCAGAATAAGAGAGGTCCATTTTTTACCGTTTTATGCCCATGCAACCGAACAACAGAAAGTAAGCCTAGGAGAAGGACACATGCACATGTCCTGTGGCCGTTCCCTCCCTGTTGTCGCGATAGTGTAAGAGAAGTGGGCGAGGTCAGTTCTCTCTCACAAGGAGACTTAGGTAAGTGTAAATTCCCGATTCGGTTCAAACTCGGTATATTTGCTTCTTATCCCTATAGATGACTATTGCGCGTCAAAGTTTGTGCTGAAGTTCATATGTCAAATCTCCCTATAGGGGCCTATAGTCCCCCAAAAATATAAATTTTATGTTAACAAAAAATTAAGCGATAATCCGACTCAGAATGTGCGGTTTTGGGGGTGTAGTTCCTCTTCCATTTTTCGATTTGAGAACGAATTCCATGAGCTTATGTCGAATTTCTAAACTTTTTCCATAAAACGCCCCTATAAAGTACCCCGGGATGTGAACTTCAGCACAAAATTCGACCAGCGTTCGTCATCTACATGGCCAAGAAGCAAATATACCGAGTTTGAACCGAATCGGGAATTTACACTTACCTAAGTCTCCTTGTCAGCGTTACAAAATAATTCTTAAAAACCGTGAGTGAGCAGCACTTGTTCGCCCGGCCTCTTTGTCTTCTTTCTCTCGTGTTCCTTTTCTTTTTCGGGAGGCGGTGTCGGCGTCGTGGCGCTCGCGTGCCCCGCGTGTCTGTTGGGTCACCCGCGGCCCCCGGGCGCGGCGGGGCGGGGCGGGGCGGGGCGGGGCGGGGCGGGGCTCCACACGACGACCAAGAGCTACCAGCGACAATAATAACGGCGATGGCGAGATAGGCGATTTTATCTCGCACCTCCTCCACTCCGCGATGCCACTGAGTGGCGTGGCGTGGCGTAGCGTGGCGTCGCGTGGCGTGGCGTGGCGTGTGTGGCGAATGAATGACGCGGACGTGCTGACGCGGGGGCCGCGGAGTCATTAGGTCATAACGCACCACGCACCGCGACTCGTAACGCTTATTACTTTCTTTCATTACGCGTGTAGACAAGGGGCCGAAAAAAAAGATTGACACTGTGAGCTGAAGGCGTATAGTAAATGTAGCAGTATTGCGTGCGCAACGTCATTGCAGGTGCGGTATAGGCCTGACCTGACGAGTTTAGTCCTTGCCAGCACATCTCTCTTGGCGCACTTGGCGCCGACAAAGTTGAGGCGGGGACCATCGGCCACCCCGCAACCACGCCGCCCCGCCACGCCCCACCGCGACCCCGCGGTCCACCAAGCTCTGACCAGTCCTGTCCAGTGAATGAAGTTGCATAAATTGCCGGTAGAGTGCGCGGCAGTGGGGCTAAAGGTCGGCGCGTGACCCGCGGGGGG